ACACACACACACACACACACACACACACACACATATACACACACAAAACACTCAACACACACATACAGCCATACAAGCACACAAACACACACACACACACACACACACACACACACACACACACACACATACAAGCACACACATGCTATCAGTGGAAATATTAGCTTCAGGAAAAATTCATAATCTTCCTCGTGGGTGATGATACATTATGGAGTAAATCTCAGTCAGGAAAAATAAACATTAGAGAACTGGCTGTAACATATATGGCTTCTAACTAGATCTGGATTTCAAATGCACAATCAATGTATCTTTAGTATAAGTTTTTAAAAATGCAGCATGCATGGGGAAATATCTATAGAAAAACACATTTTATCTGAAATTCCAATTTAATTTTATATTTTCGCTTGTTCAGCCTGACAGTTCTGGGATGAAAATCAATTTTGGAACTTCATTGTTCCCAGTAAAGTCAATTTAATAAAAAAAAACAATCACTGGAAACAAAGACTGGGACAGGTATAAAGAACTATGATGAGGCTGAACACAAGTGTAACAGCCAACGTAAAACAAGAAATAGAACCTTCAACTCCGGTTAGAATTTTGTAATCATTGAAAAGACAGAGTTTCTGGGCTAAATATTCTCCTCCTCCAGCTCTGGTTTAAGAATTAATTAATATCTGAAAGTACAGTTTCCTTTCATTGTCTAGCACGTCTACATTTCATTTGACTCTTCATTCTCCTTCTCCATGGTCAACTCTCCCCGACTTTGGTTACAGTAATTAATTGTGTGAGCATCCTTTGTCCCTGAGATCACAAAATTGTCTCATCCTCAGACCTAAGTAGTACTGCTCATCCTCCACACTATCCAATAGTTGATTTCGTGTATTCTTAGAATTCTTCGTAATGCCTCTCTTGGCACTGTTTGGTTGGTGATGGTTTATTTTATTTATTTATTGGCTTGTTTGTTCATTTATTTTGAGACAGTATCTCAATATGTAGTCCTACTTGATCTGGAATTCACATTCCTCCTGTTTTGACTTGCAAGTTCTGAGATTATCACTGTGTAACCCCATACATGATAGTTCTTCTTACAATGTTATTTATTTTTCTTCTACCTGGAAAAATTCTCTCTTAGTTGCTGGTATTTGCAAATCCTTCTGAGACACCTAACTGATTCTGCTCAGGTAATCATCTCTCCCATGGCTCCTCCCCTCTTTACATGTCTATTAGGAGGACCACCACTGGGCTGCCTGGGACACAGGAGAAGTATCTTTAATATCTAATGATGACTAAACTAAGAGTCATCATCCTTCAAGATGTCAAGCCATCACCTCCAACCTGTAGGGGTTTTCCATAATTCAAAATTGTACTAATCTCAAAAGAGAAATAGTGAACACATAGATTTCAGAAAGAGAAGCCACACTGAACTGTTCAAATCACCACATGAGTTATCTCCCTATCGGGTGTACTTGTCATGTACCAACCTAACTGTGAGTGAAATGTCTGGTAAAATGGCCCTTAAGAGGTTAAGTAATGAGGGTATTTTTAAGTGACTCCAATTCGGTCTAAGAGCCACTGATTCAACCTACCTAAAGGCTCATTTTCATCATGATATCTCTGGTAACTCTCTATTAATGTTTATGGCACTCAACCCCATAACATATAATTGAACATTTATGATGCATTAATCTTCCTTTCAGATGGGCAGAAAGTGCTGATTCACCACAGAAAAAAGGGACTTGCACTAGGAGGAGGCTTTTAAAAACTCATAGAGTTTTCTGAGTCTGCACACCTTTCAGCTAGAGACTAATTGAGTTTAAATAAGACTGGAAAAGAGGAGATGGGGGAATTGGTGAGGGACGGGGAAGCCCATCTAAATTAAGGATATATGAAAAAGCCATATGGAAACCTATGACTTTATAAGCTGAGAAATAGCCCCGGACGAAAATAGGTAGGATACTGTCTTATGTGTGGCTGGATATGGAGGCCCCAGAAACACCCAAAAACAATGCCTGTCCTTACCTTTCCTTTTGGTTGCCCATCAGAACTAGATAACTACTGAGAAATGTTTACAAGATACAGAATAATCAAACTGGAACTGAACTGTGAACTTTCTCCTGCTTCCTTGCTTTCCTAGTGTGGGAAGTAGCTATGCAGGAAACTGGGGGAGACAGAGTCATCAAGGGTCTTACCGAGCTGTGAAGCCGACCTATTAACTTATCAGGCAAGATGCCACCACTGACATAAGAGTGGTATAACTGTTAAGAGGGTTACTACCCAGTCTCTGATTGGATATGAGGTCTGTACCAAAGGAGGGAATCCATGCCTGCCAAATAATACTCAGCATAAATCAGGGGTATTTCCCTTTGCAGTAAAATGGTGAACACAGAAATGCATGGCTGTTTAAGGAACTGAGAATAAGAACTAGTCAAATGTTCAGTCCTATAACTTCCCCCTCAAGGCTCAGAGGAAGTCTCAAAAGAGTGGTGAAAAGAATCTGTTGAACGCTAAGGGCGTGGCACACACAATCATCTCACACAAGCTGTGGTTGCCTGGAGTACAGCTGCACAAGAACATACCTGCTAACAATAATCTCAGTCTGAGAAGGTGATATCTGACGCCTGGCATTGAATTATTGGCTTTGGAAGGATTCTATGGAAGGAGAACAAAAAACTTTCAGTTACACACCGATTGATGAGCCCACCAGGCTCCAAGGTTTTGCTCCAAACCCATGTTTGTGTAGATGGTAAAACTCGGCAAGTTACGAAACAAAACAGAAAGACATAAATGGGAGAAGGGGCTTGTATGAAGAAGAAGGGGATGAAAAGGATCAGGGCAGACATTTAGAGAGAATGAGGAAGTGAGTGAACTGTGTACGTGTATGAGATTGTGAAAGAACAAATGCAATAGAAGAAAAATAGAAATGAAAAAGAAGAGGTATGTTAAAGAATACAGTCCTAGAAAAATCTCAAAACCCTGACCAGACACCAAATTCCTTCCTTAGTCTTACTGAGAAAGAAAGCTGTAACTGGTTTTAAATGTATAAAATAAATGCCTCTTTTAAATGCACTAAACATTAACTATCACTTTATTTAATCAAGCCTTTGGAAGTGCAGAGGAACAGGGGCATGAAGTGGTCCAGTGTCCTCAAACTCCATATGTAAATGATGCTTTTTCCAGCATGACTTAGGTACCCTGCCATTAAGGTCAGATTTCCTAACTCAAGTGATAATCATGGAGAAAAAAAAAATTGATGCTTTTCCTTTCAAACTATATGTGTGTGTGTGTGTGTGTGTGTGTGTGTATCTGTCATCAGCTCCTGTTCACATATTACAAAATAAATATATACTCTTTAATTAACATAAAATTATATTTGTAATTATGCACGATGAGTTATTGTGTCATGGGTTTCTCTAGGGAGCTCCTGGGGATCCAAATGTCTGTCATCCAAGGACTCATTCACAAACTGAGGAGCCACAACCAATGATGGGAAACCTGGACTTAATTCCCAGATCCAGTATCATTTCACTCTGAAACAAGATTGTTATTCTCTGGACCTCAACTTTTTCCAATACAAAACATGTACTTGGGATATATTTCTGCATTTTAAACATTTTTTTAATTGGGAGAGCTACTTTCAAACCAAAATATTACCAAGAAATAACTAAATAAAAGGAAAACACCTTTGAACAGAGGGAGGGAAGGACTCAAATACCAAAATATTTAACTAAAAAAAAAAACCTTTTATTAAGTACAAATGTATTCTATGCATACTACAAGATAGGCTATTCAGTTCATATAAATGATAGTAGCATATCTATAAAGATTTCAAATCAGGAAAAAAATAAATTCCAAATATCATCAATAAACCTGAAAGCTGACTAACATCATACTAATTGAAT